CTGAATAGGAGGTATGCATTCAGCAAAAATGTTATAAAAAATTGATGAGCTTTTTCAGTAATTGTTTGGGAAGCTAGATAATAAATAGTATTTAATAACTTCTAATTAGCTTGCCTCAAAAATATTCACAGTAGACATGCTCAGGAAATACTTTGTGGTTTTTGCTCTATGTAAATTTGTCATAATTGAGTTTCTATCAGGAAATACTTTGTGGTTTTTGCTCTGTGTAAATTTGTCATGATTGAGTTTCTATCAATTGTGGCTGATATCCAAAGGTCGGCAAAATTCTGACATTTCAGACAAAAACTTGTTGCCTTGTGTAGTTCTGTAAATAACCATATTATAGGATGTTTAAAAAATGACAGAAGTTTGGTACAGTTTGTTTCAGTGAGTTCAAATTTTAATTAATTTTATTTTTATGACTGATTCAAATAACCTAGCTTTATATACCTTATGTGCCTTTTGTACCTTTTTTAGAGTATATTATAACTGACTGAATATTCAGTCAGTGAACAGATAGTTTTTGAGTACCTACCAGGGATACCATGGTCAACAAAATAAACATGTTCCTTGCCTCGATTAGCCAAAACATAAATGTTTAACAAATACTCATAAGATTATAAGCACGTTACGTAATGGAATGGAGATATGCAGGTGCTGTGAGAATTTGTAATGGAGAGGTCAAAAGTGTGGAGATAGATAAGGTTTCTCTGGGCAATTAACCTTTGAGCTGAGACTTAAAGAATGAGTGTGAGTTGGCTAGATGAAGCGGTGGAGTCAAAAAAGCTTTAGCCTGATGTTAAGAGAGAACATGGTGAGTTCAGAACACTGAAAGACATTCAATGTTGTGGACTCATACAGGTTAGGTGGTAAAAGATGGCCAGAAATGTGGGAGGAGAGGTGGTCAGGGGCCAGATCATGCAGAGTCTTATAGGCTCTGTTGAAGGGTTTGGGACTTTACTGTAAGGATAGTAGGGGAAATTTACAGAGTGAAATAAATTCACATCGGCTGCTGTGTGGAGAATGAATTGGAGAGGATCAAGAATGTATATGGGGGGCTTATTAGGAGGTTATAGTAGTAGTCCAAGCAAAGGATTATAGTGACTTGAAATAGGATAGTGGCAGTGAAGATGGAGGCATGGGTGGATTCGATAAGTATTTAAGAGGTAAAATTCATAGGATTTGATGACTGATTATATTTGGAGGGTGAGATGAGAGTGAGAAGGAAGGTAATGTGCAGGATAATTTCTAGGTTTCTGACAGAAGCACCTTCTTGAAGGTGTTGCCTTTTATTGAGATGGTGGACACTGGAGAAAAAGGTTTATAGGAAGTCTGAGGCATCTGTAAAAATCTAAAGGATGATATGGAATAGGAAGTTAAATAAATGGACTTGGAACATAGGAGAGATATCTAGAAGGAATATATAAAGTTTGGGATAATGATAGTAATTGAAGTCACAGAAGTGGAACGAGGTTGCCTTAGCGGGTATCTACAGAATGAGAATTTAAAAAAAACTTCAGACAGTACCCCAAGCTTCTCTCTACATTAAAAATTGCCGTATATAAATGTGTGTGTATACACGAAAACTATATAATATACTACACACACACACACACACACACACACAAATTATACCTTTAGTATATATTACTCTTTGGAATGTATACAAATTACATTAATTATACCTACAGTTGGGGCATGTAATTAGAAATATTTTTAATTTTAAACACTTCTTGAGTATTGCTATGTAGTAGATGCTATGCTGTTAAATGCTGGTGATTCACAGATCTAAGTTATGGATTCTGCTTTCAACCTGCATGCTAATTCTTTGTAGAGAGAAAAATAAACAAGATGTTTTATAAATGCTATGACAGAGATAAGCATGGGATGTTATGGGAGCACAGACAGCCAGGGTGTAGGGCTATGATTAAGGAAAGCTTCTTGAAGGAGGTAAGGCTTGAACAGCGTCCTAAAAGGTGAATTGGTATTGCTAGGCAAAGTAGGCAGTGAAAAGGCTCTTACCACCATGCTGTACCTTCTCTCACCATTTTAGATGCTATAGAAAGGTCAAGTCCTGGGTAGGATAAAAAGCAAGATCAGATCCTGGTGGGTTGAAGAATGAACAGGAAATGTGAAGTCAGACAGCTCCTTTAGGGAAGGGTCTGAGTTTGACTGCCTTGCATAATTCCTGGCACTTAGTGTTTGTTGCATTAGCTTTGGACAAGAGAGACACTTCATTTTCTGAGATAAGATGAATATGTGAGGAGGGGCTGAGTCCAGATTGCTGCGTTCCCTCTACATGCTGAAGAGAGCTTACCGTGAGCAGTTGCAGCTCTTTACCTGCATGCTCTTTTATGGCTCTGCAGGGAGGCCAAGTGTACCCCCACAGCCAGAAAAATTCTCAGCATGAATCTGTTATGTTTTCTTCTAGTCTTTTTTTTTTTTATAGTTGAGAGTACGATACCTATGTTTTAACATTTTTCTTTCAATATTATATCATAAGCATTTCCCATGTGAAGTTAATAAAATATTTTAATAAATAGCATCTTAAGTGTCTGCATAATCTTTTTTTTGATGTTTATTGAATATCTATCTGAACATTTAGTTTAAAGTTCTTTTTCTTTTTTTAACTTTTAATTTTGAAGTAATTTCAGACTTACAAAAAAGTTGCAAAAATATTAGAAAAGCCTTTCTATATATCCTTCAGCTAGTTTATGGTGGTGTCTATCAGAGTTCTCCATTGTAAAGTTACTCTTTTCCCCTCTGTAATAAGTATCTTGTGGGGAGATACTTTAAGACTATATAAATACCATTTCTCAAGAATTTACCCATTAATTTTAGCATCCTTTGTTTTTTAGCTGAATTATTTCTAAAATGGTCTCTAAAAGATTTTCTAATTACATTATTCCTCTGCATTCATCTGTTGACATTCCATTCCATAGGAGAGTTTTCTCCTCTCCTCATTTAGTAGATTCTTAGTTAAGGGGTTATAAATTGCTCCAGGTCTGGCCATTAGGCTTCTTTTTTTTTTTTTTTCTTTTTTTGACATGTCCTTACTCTTTGAGCATTTTTCTGCTTTCAGGTACAAAAATGGTTTCAACATCTGGTAAGGCAAATCCTCATCTCATTATTTTTTCTTTAAAAAATTTCTTGGCTCCTCTTGGGCATGAAGTCTTCAGATTGACTTTAAATATTAAAAAAATAATGGATTTTGATTGGAGTTAGACAATTTATAGAGAACTGACATTTCAAGAAAGCGGACATATTTCCATTATTGAATATTCTCACTTAAGAATCTTCTATTTCTATATTTATTTGGATCTTTTATGTCCTTTGGTGAAAACCTTGCTTATTTCCTCCTAAGTTTATTTTTAAATATTTTATAGTTTTTGTTGCAATCATGAGTGGTATTTTTTTTCCTTACATTTTCTAATTGGTTATTGCTGGTATAGTTTTTAAGATGCTTTTTATTTAATCTTATAATCACCTGCTTTATTGAACTTCCTATTCTAATATTTCTACAGTTGATTCTCTTGGCTTTTCTAGGTAGACTATTATATAATCTGTAAATGATGACTTTTATTATTTTGTTTATCATATTTATACATAATTTCTTTCTCATATATTTTGTGGGTAAGATATTTGAGTGGGGGTGGGGAGGGGTGATCCTGGGAAGTCTTCTTGCTGATGTGACATTTAAGAGGACTATCAAAGAATGTGCAGCAGGTGAAACAGAGTTGGGGAGAATGTATTCCAGACAGGCCTTGAGGAGAGAAACAATAAGGCAACGTTCAGTGAAAAGAAAGAATGGCTAGACCATAGGACACAAATGAGGTTGGGAGACGCAAGAGATGGGTTGGAGAGTAAATAGGGGTACAGTCAGTAGTTGCTAGATTCTAAGGTCAATTACTCTATTCTAGAGGAACTGAGAATTTAATGAAAGGTATGTTACACAGAATGGCCCACCAAAGATGTTTATATCCTAACCCCTGGAATCTGAAAATATGTTACCTTATATGGCAAAAAAAAATTGCATATAAAGGTAAGGCTATTGACCTTCAAATAGCGGGGAGATTATCTTGAATTGTTCAAGTGAGCCCAGTCTAATCACATGAGCCTGAAAAGCAAATAAATTTCTCTGGCTGGAAGCAGAAGCAAGATGTGGTAGAAGGGAAAATTGGAGAGCTTCACAGTGAGAAGGACTTAACCCACCATGGCTGTAGGGGACCACATGGAAAACATGAGAAGGAATACAGGAGCAGAGACTGACAACCAGCAAGGAAATGGGGACCTCGGCCTTACAGCTCCAGGAACTGAATTTGGCCAACAACAGCCTGAATGAACCTGGAAGTGGATTCATCTCCAACATCTCCAGAAAGCCCTGCTGACTATTTGGTTTTGGTCTTGTGAGACTCTATGCAGATGACCCAGCAGAGCCGCACTATACCTGGACTTTTGGCCTACAGAATTCTGAGAAAATAAATTGGTGGTGTTTGAAGCTGCTAAGTTTGTGGTGTTTTATTACAGCAGCAGTAGAATGCTGGTACTAAGGGGTTTAGACAGGGAACTAATATCCGATTTTGTGTTAACAAACTACTCCTGTACTGTGTGGAAAATGGATTTGGGAGAATGCAAATGGAGGCCGGGAAGCTTGTCTGTAGGAAAACAGTGGTGGCATGGATGGAGGGTAGTGATGGTGGGGATATGATTTATACTTATTTGGAAGGTTGAAATTGCCAGAATTTGGTTACTGATTAGATGTTGGGAATGAGGAAGCGGTGGGACACAGGATGACTGCCGAGTTCTGGCTTGGATGCTGAGTGACTGGCAAAGCTGTTTCTTGACACGGAGATGAGCAGGTTGGAGGATGCTGTGTCATGAACTCAGTGGTATTTCCAGGTGTTCTTCATTTTGAAATTCTGTAAATACTTATTTTAAAGTAGAATATATCGATAAGATGATTGCTTTATCTTTTAAGACCTAAATTGGCTTTCTTGTGTGTTTTTTTATTTTTTCAGGTCATGTAGGAAATCGTAAATCATGTGAAGATGGGACTCTTGGTATTTGTGCGCAATCTGCTGCTAGCCCTCTGCCTTTTTCTGGTATTGGGATTTTTGTATTATTCTGCGTGGAAGCTACATTTTTTCCAGTGGGAGGACTCCAGTAAGTATGGTCACTCTAGCCTACTCCCAGGAAAAGCCTGTTGCAGATAAGTTGCTGGGTTTTCATCTGGCTGCAACGCTCTTATATTCTTTAGATGTGGGCAGTGAGAGTAAACTGACCATTTCTGGTTTTTAGGTTTAGAAATAAACCACCACTTTCATTGCTGTAGATTAAGAACTTAACAAAAAAACTGCATGCCATGGCAAATCCTTTAGTGAACTTAGTAAAAATGTGCTGTTCTTCAATAAAAACTCAAACTATATTAGTACTTCTAGTTCTTAAATGTTGTTCTTTTTAATTAGCGTATTGTTGCTCCCACTTGCCATTTATTGACTGAGGGCTTGGTAGTAAAGTTGATTTTCTTTTGCCCTTAAAAAATTCATCTTTACCTTTTCCTTGAATTTTCAGTTTTCAATTTAATGTTGCCTTTGTTTTATTTTCCCTAAAGAAATTTCATCTATTTACCCTTTTTATTAGCCCTTGCTGGTACTGAACTTATACATAAATAGAATAATGGCTTCCCCCCTCACCCCTCCCTGCAACGAGTAACTCCTAATCTCTTTCTTCCATTTGTACCTTAGGTCTTATGTGTTACCCAGCATTGTTCTACACAGCTGCCTGAACCCCTCTGGCTTAGTTTGGATTTACCTATTATTGCCTGTGTTATGGTTTTAGGCTTACAGGTGAAGGGCTTGCGTTGAGTTGAGCAGCACCAGGCTTTGCATATTCTCTTCCTGACTGTAGCTTGAAGTATCATGCAGTGACCACAAGTAGTTTTCGTTTTGGTTCTTTTGTCTAAAGGCTGTTTGAGCTCCGTGTAGGAAATTTCGGGTAGTCTGTTCAGATTCCTAGTGAATGTATCTTTTCTAAAGTAGTTTTATTTTTACAAACATCTACCAGATACCAACGTAGAATTCACTTGAGAGTAGAGTTAGTCTTTAGGTATGAGATTAAAATGAGTTCAAGTGAATTGAAAGAGGCAACTGGCGGTTGGCCTTATATTGAGACCTTAACATGGTAACTGTTCCTATGAAGTAGTTCATTTATTTTTCACATGGCCCAAACTGCTGAAGCAATTTCAAGCCAGTTTTAAAAATATAGTGTTACATCTTTTATTTATTGTTTTATATGAAGTGTTTAAGTGCCTCTTAAATGCTTAGCTTATAATTATCACTAATTACTTTTTGTTTCCGGAGTTAATTTAAATTTCTCTGCTCCAACTTATTTTTAAATGATGAAGACTACTCAAGATAAGGAAGGCTTATATCAGTGCAGTTGAAAATTCTGTAGTTAGAGGCATTACGTGTATCTGTAATGGGTGGATTCATCAGTATCCATAAAATAGATGGAATTATGTGCAGAGGTGGGGGTCTCTTTGTCTCTTAAGAGCTACTGACCTGTAGAAGACCTAATCAAGGATTAGATAATATTTTCCTAGAGAAGTCAAGAAAGACATTAACTTTATGGAAGACCTATTATGTGTCAGGTTTTAGGCTAGACAGTTTACACATTTAATTCAATTCTTACTATAACGGTGTAAAGATGCTATTATTATCTCTATTTTCCAATCGAACAAACCGAAGTATTTAGTTTAATTAGTTTACCTAAGTTACACAGCTAATTTATTAGATCTGGAATTTTCTATTTTTAGAAATCCTAAATTTCTGTCTTTAAAACCTATGTTCATTATTTTATTGAAAAGTATAATAAACACTAAGTATAGGATTTAATTTTCTATTCTAATTGGTAGAAAGAGAGAGGAAAGGGACTCAGAGAAGAATAGTAGGGTATCTGGAGGGAGACGGAGAAAGAAAAAGGAAGGAAAATAAGGGGAAGAGAAAGAGAAAGTCCTCTAGATGACAAAGGGGTTGATTAAGTTGGAAGTGACATGGTGCTGCTATTCACTAGTGCTGTAGACTTCAGTAATTTATTAATAGTTACCTGCTGTCCTTTGGGTTAGTTGTTAGCTGACTAACTAGTATTCACATCTTTTCTGTTATTCTGACTCAAGCTTTTTAGATATTTGACTTTGAATAGGTTGTTTAGACCTTCTTACTGTAGCATATTATGTTCTGTGCTATAATATTAGAGAACTGAGTAATACGACCAACTCTGATGGCTTACTTACTAAGTTAGCCGAAGGAGTTTCCCAAAACAGATGACTGCTGTGTAAGTGAAACTTAGGCTTTGGTTTAGTAATATTGATGATGATGCCAATAATAATGAAATGAAAATAACAATTTATTGTCTACTATACTGTCTGTATTGTAATGGGAACTTTGTATTATAATCTCATTTAATCTTCATAGTTTATATTGATTATTATTATCCTCTTTTACAGATGTAGAAACAGGCTTCAAAGAAGCTCAGTAATTAAGTTAGCATGTCTTTATCTGGAGAGCTCAGAGGGCATTTTCAAGTATGAGAAATAAATATCTTTAGTATTATTTTTTTCTTAATTTTTATACTACTTATGACTTTACCACAATTACCTATTGGACCTCCTTCATGGTGGGAGACAGGAATCTAGAGTTTTTTATTAAATTATTCATTCTACTAGCAGTACATTCCTGTTATGGTCCATGTACTGTTCTGTTTAAACTGGATATAAGATGAGCATGGACCTTTATGCTGTCAGCCTATAATGTGAGAAAGAAATAAAATAACTATTAAAATGCCTTATATTCTAAACAACAGGTCTGACTAAAATGCCATGTTGGAGCATAGAATCCCTTCCAGATAGAAAATTTTATGATTTCATTATCTCAAGGCATATTGTTGAAGGATGCAAACTGCTTTGTTTTTAGCAGCTGAGAGCTACATATGGCAAAGGCTTAGTCAGATTGCCAGGACTTGGGTCAAAAGTTTAATCTGAAAGACTGCAAGACTGAGATTGGTCTAGTTATTAATCTGTTTTTAAAAAGTTCTGTTGTTTGCAATTTCCAGTTCCACATGTTAAGGAGCTTGAAAGTTGCTACTTTGTCCTAACAACAAGTAAAAAACTGAAAAGACTGAAAAATCAATAACTCTTCTTGTATCGATAAGAGAGAAGAGGACACAGGGCAAGCTGCTGCCCCCCAAGATTGGAGAGACAGGTGAATACATAGTCTCATGCAGAAACTGTCACAGGAGCTACTGTCATAATAGGAAAACTTGAATTATAATTGACAAATTGCCGGAGGCTCAGTGTAGACAAGAAAATTCCAGGAGGACCCAGTCACAGGGGGTCCCCACAATACGTGAGATTTACCTCCAGGAGCTTGACCAGATTCTCACAGTAAACATTGGAGAAAAATCTCCTCATACATCATTCTGGCAGGGAGTGAGGAAAAGGAGTCATTTTGAAATATACCAGAGCACTTTGTTCTTCTTAACAAGGCCTGCCCTGAAGGGAAACTGGTTAGCCAGAGCCTGACCTGTTGGAGTATTATCAGAGCCTAAGTGACCAAGTAAGGGACATACCAACTCCAGCCATCTCTAGCTTTACACATGGGAGAAAGGAAATAGCCAGCTCCAGCCCACGCTAGCCATCTTATCCCACCTAATTGGGGAGAGGAACACTGAGAAACGCTTGTGAAGTTCACAGTCCAGAGTCATAGGCTCACTGAAAGACAGACCTAACCATAGAACTATAGAATATTTCCCTTTCCCCTCCACATCACCACCACATTAATAAAGCCCTATTTATAGCAGTTTGTTTTACCTGGTACATCATGTCTGGCTATCAAGAAAAGATAAAGTGTAACAAAAGGCAAAAAACAATTTGAAGAGACAGAGCAAGCATTAGAACCAGATGTGTCAGGGATATTGGAATTATCACACTGGCAATTTAAAACAACTATGATTAATATGCTAAGGGCTCTAATGGATAAAGTAGACAGCATGCAAGAACAGATGGGCAATGTAAACAGGGAGATGGAAATCCTAAGGAAAAAAACAAAAAGAACCACTAGAGATACAAAACATGCCTTTGGTGGGCTTATTAGTAGATTGG